GACGTTCTACCTCAATTAGAAGGAGAGTTATTGTGTTCCAAAGTCCCAGCCAATCAAATTGCTTATCGCTCTGCTTACCATGAGCAGAAAATGCTCATTATCGAATTTAGTCAAGGTATTGATGTAATGAAACTATACATCAAGTTTCATCACTCTCACTTAATTAGAACAAAAGTTATCGTGTCGGAAAGCATCAAGCAATCAAATTGCTTATCTCTGCTTACCCTAAGCAGAAAATGCTCATCTTCGAACTCCATCAAAGCATTGACCTAATAAACACCTACACCAAGTTTGAACATTCTAGCTTAATTAGAAGGAGAGTTATTGCGTCCCAAAATGTGTGATGGACAGACAGACAGACGGACAAACCCATTTTAATAGTCCCCTTCTTTCTTTGAAAGGCTGGGGACAATAAATAGATGACATATAATATTAATTGCACATTTATCTTTTTCAAAAGTATCGAGCAATCAAACTGATTGAATTGTCATGGTTTTGAAGTACCTGGTAGTACTCTCCATCAGTTAGAATCAAAGTTATCTTGTCCCAAAGCATTGGCCAATGATATACCAGATGTTTACACTATTTACGTAGAGGGGCGGTCATTTTGTCTGGCAGTTTTAGTCCGATTTTCACAAAATTCAAACTCAACCAACATTACGGTGTTACGGTGATATATTTGAACGTTTTTGTAAATCAGATAATAATTGTAACCTCTAGAGAGACCACAAGCTAAAAACAAGATTTTCCGTAGGGGCCATAAATCAGGAAGTTACGATCCGATATGCGCAAATATCGACAGCATCCAAGATCTTTGGGTTATAAACATGCATTTCAATTTTCATTAAAATTGGGTGAAAATTGTGACCTCTATAATCTTGATATACCATATTTTTACACTATTTGCATGCGAGGGGTGGCCATTTTGTCCGGCAATTTTTGTCCGATTTTCACGATATTCGAACTCAACCGTCATTAGGGTGTAACCGTCATTAGGGTTCTTAATCAAATTTGAAATGAACCGGCCACGGGTAGGCCTAACGGATAGTCGTCTTTTCAACAACAAACATGTTGGTTTATGCATACTCTATTTACGACAGTAATTGCATAATTCACTAATTGCATAACATATTCGGGATAATAATAGCTGAAACTCCAACTAAACAGAGGTTATAAATTAGTAAAAACTACAAGTACATACAAATGTTTTTTTTTAAATTATTTTATTTGTAAGCACATGTTAATATATATAAAAATAACAAAGTATATAAATAACAAAGTAGCACAAATCAGTTTCCGTGTATAGTCGGAACTCGGAAATATGCTGTACGTGCGAAAGGTCATGTGGCCAATTGTCGTGATTCAGATTAGTTATTATTAGTGTTACCAGTATACAATTGTTGGGATTTAATGCATCAGGACTAGTTCGGATATCTGAGAGGATCTCTTCCTCAAATTCACCACAACAATTAAAATCACGATATAAATATTTTGTCATTTCATGTCCCTGCTGTTCAATTATAATATTGTTCATAATTTTCGATGGCAATGTTTCTTTTTGCTATATGAAATACGCATTTCGGATTAACGCCCGGTTTGAAATAATTTCTATAGATTAAACTCTTTGTTCTGCCATCGTCTTTCTTTGCTGCGCAGGTATGATCGTCAGATTAATATGGTCTTTTATTGTCGATAATTTGGTTGACCTATATTGGACGTGGGAGGATCTCTAGCTTTTGGAATTTCCATTGACGACGTGCATGCTTGAAGTTCAAGGTCTTTCTTTGCTGCGCAGGTATGATCGTCAGATTAATATGGTCTTTTATTGCCGATAATTTGGTTGACCTATATTCAGTTAAATCTTGTTTACGTTTCCTGGTGTCATTCTGCGAGGTGTTCAAATACTTGGCATCATTACCTCAATTAAAGCGGAAATTTCAAATTTTCAAGTTATATTTTTAAAATGTATTAAAATAAAGCCTTAAAATAGATGGTATCCATAAACAGTCCAACCTTGTTAAAGAATAATCCTATTTATCCTATAATTCGCTATTGCCAGCTGAGAAATTGGCAAAATTATCATTTTTAACTTCAAATTCCAACGTTGGAAAATGGCTGCCCCATGTTGTCAATAGCAAAACAGGGGAGGTAATTGTGTTGTTATTTCCTGTGTCATAGATTTTTAAGGGTGGGAAATAATGTCCATGATCGTATAATAGTGAGTTGATAACCTATTGAGCAAAAGACAGAAATAATTATGTTTTGACTTTCTTAGAAAATTTGAAATTCTCGCTTTAAGTTGTTTATTTATGAAATAAACCGAAGGTATTCATTGTAATGATTGACTCTTTGATGGGTTTCTTAATCGACAAGTAATAATTAACTCTTTGTAATCTGCCGAAAGTAGATTGATTTATGATACCATAATGGCCGGTTGATTGTTTTACCAATCGGCCTGATAATTAATTCTTTGTAAATCGGCCGAAAGTAGATTGATTTGTGATACCTTAGTGGCCGGTTCATTGTTTTACCAATCGGCTACAGTGTATATTAAAGATCAATCGGCTAAAGCCGACAAAAAACAGTCAATTAAGATCCCTGGTTACAATCCAATATGCACGAATATCGAAAGAAACCAAGACCTTTGTCATATAAGCATAAATTTAAGGTTGCAACAAAATCAGAAACCAGCGGCTGCCAGGCAGGATACTCCCACATTTTGCAACAGATGAATAGAGAACAAGCTAAAAACAAACATGATTTTTTGTACAATCAGGGGCAAAAATCCAGAAAGTTATGGCCTGAAATGTGCAAATATCAAAAGGGAGTGAGATCTTTTCGATATATAGATATGTTTTAAGTTTCGTCAAAATCGGATAAAAATTGTGACCTCTAGAGGGCCCATAACCTTCGTATTACACACTTCTACACAATTTGCATACAAAGAGCGGCCATTTTGTCAGGCAGTTTCATTTCGATTTTCCCGAAATGCGACTTAATCTTCATTATGGTGGAATGCTGATGATTTAAACGGTTTTTAAAATTGAAAAAAATTGTGACCTCTAGAGAATCTGCAAGCTAAAAATGCGATTTTTCGAACAATCAGGGGCCATAATCTAGGAAGTTAAGTTCGGGTATCTGCGATTATCAAAAGGAACCAAGATCTTAGTGTGTAATGGTGATATATTCACACGTTTTTTTAAATCGGATAAAAATTGTGACCTCTACAGGGACCACAAGCTAATAACATGATTTTTTGTTTCATAAAGGGTCATTATTCAGGAAGTTACGATCTGATATGCACGAATATCGACAGGAACCAATATCTTTGGGTTATAAACATGTATTTCAACCTTGATTTACTAGATGTTTACACTATTTGCGTACGTGGGGCGGCCATTTTGTCCAACAGTTTTGGCCTGATTTTCATGAAATTCATATCAACAAACATTACAGTGTAACAGTGATATATTCGAATGTTTTTTTAAACCGAATAATAATTGGGACCTCTAGAGGGACCACAAGCTAAAAACGCGATTCTTCGTACAACCAGAGGCCATAATTCAGGAAATTACGATCTGATATGCGCGAATATTGAAAGGAATCGAGATCTTTGGGTTATAAACTTGCATTTCAAGTTTCATCAAAATCAGATCAAAATTGTGACCTCCAGAGGATCCACAACTTTGATATACCAGATGTTTACACTATTTGCATACGAGGGGTGGACATTTTGTCTGGCAATTTTGGTCGTCAGACAAAATTACGGTGTAACAGTGACATATTTGAACATTTTTTTAAATCGGATAATAATTGTGACCTCTAGAGGGGACCACAAGCTAAAAACGCAATTTTTCGTAAAATCAGGGGCCATAATTCGGGAAGTTACGATTCGATATGCACAAAAATAGAAAGGGGTTATAAACATGGATTTCAAATTTCATCAAAATCAGATGACAACTGTGACCTCCAGAGGGTCCACAATCCTGATACGCAATATTTTGACACTATTTATGAACGAGGGGTGGCCATTTTGTCTGGCAGTTTTGGTCCGATTTTCATGAAATTCGACCTTAACCGTCATTACAGTGTAACAGTGATATATTAAAACATTTTTTTAAATCGGAATAAAATTGTGACCTCCATAGGGTCCACAAGCTAAAAAATGTGATTTTTTTTACAATCAGGGGCCATAATTCAGGAAGTTACAGTCCGATATGCACGAATATCGAAAGGAACCAAGATCTTTGGGTTATAAACTTACATTTCAAATTTCAACAAAATCAGATAACCAGCGGCTGCCAGGCAGGATACGCCCACATTTTCCAAGAGATGGACAGAGAACAAGCTAAAACAAAACGATTTTTTGTACAATCAGGGGCCATAATCAAGAAAGTTATGGTCTGAAATGTGCAAATATCAAAAGGGACTCAGATTTTCGGAATATAAAAGATAGGTTTCAAGTTTCATCAAAATCGGATAAAAATTCTGACCTCTAGAGGGTCCATAACCTTTGAAGTACATATACACCGTTTGTGTACAAAGAGCGGCCATTTTGTCAGGCACTTTCATTTCGATTTTTACAAAATCAGATAAAAATTGTGACCTCTATAGGGCCCACAAACTAAAAACATGATTTTTTGTACAATCAGGGGCCATTATCCATGAAGTTATGGTCCGATACATGCCAATATCGAAAGGAACCGAGATCTTAGGGAGATAAACCTATATTTCAAGTTTCGTTGAAATCGGATAAAAATTTCAACCTGTAGAGTGTCTACAAACAATTGTGGACGTCCAGACATGAAAATGTGGGCGTATAAAAAACATTGTACTATTCAACTATATCATTGCACAAAATATGATCAGTTATTCACATGTACTTGTATAGTTGTAACAAATGTCAAACTTTGTATGCTGGAAAAAAGGAAGTTTGGAAATTCTTTCAAAAATTGTACTTTTATGGTATATTATAAATACAAGAATACAGTAATACTTACAACTTGTTTAGCTGATGCTATAGTACAGACAATAATACCAGATGATATTAAACCTACAGATATATATTTACTTAGATTATATCTGAAATATACAATAAAAAATAATTGTTATACAGTCTATCTATAATCTATACACAATTTCAGATATTATACATGTATCCATCTATACGTTATTTCAGAGATTATATCTATTTATACATAATTTCAGATACCATACATCTATTATGGTATACTTTTTTTTAGAAAAGCAGTTTTGCAGGTGTAGTAATAGAGAAGATACACGTAGCAGCATATCTTAAAGATATCCTTTCAGACCTTTGATCACTTTCATTTCAAATAGAAAACAATTTAAGCACAGGTCTACATAGATACAAGAATGTAGCTAAAACAATGGTATACCGATATCCGTATGTAGATTAGTGGGTTTCAGCTACAGTTGGCCTCTATTAACTATACAGTTTTACCATATTTAATTATTAAGTAAACTGGCTTAGTTAGAGAATGCAAGTGATTTCGCCCAACCACTTTCTGACTTTACTCAATTTGGATTTTAAGAGAGGAAAATCATCAGTTGAAATGGGTTAGTTTTGAAATTGAATTTCACACCAAATAACTAACACAGGCTGGTACTCATAACAATTAACATATCACTGTTGACTAGGTATGCCAGAAAAATTGTAACCATTAAAGGAGTTAAACCTGTAACTCAATATTTTCCATTAAACTTAAAATTCGAAATTAAAAACACAGATTAAAATTCAATTTTGGTCCATTTCAATGAATATTGATGTTATCTTGACATGAAAATATGGGATCCTAATATCTAATATTTAAGATAAAATGAACATGTTAAAATCATTACACAAGTCGTGTATTCTACTTCTACAGTTTTGGATGCTACTTGTTATGAACAAAGAAAAGCATATCCTACAAGACAATGCAGAAGTAATTAGTAATGGCTTATTCACAAACAATAAATTCATAATAAACCAGTGGATGCCAGGCAGGATACGCCCACATTATGCAAGAGATCGATAGAGAACAAGCTAAAAACAAAAACGATTTTTTGTACAATCAGTGGCCATAATCCAGAAAGTTATGGTCTGAAATGCACAAATATCAAAAGGGACTGAGATTTTTGGAATATAAAGATCTGTTTTAAGTTTCATCAACATCGGATAAAAATTGTGAACCCAATTTCATTTCGATTTTCCCGAAATTCGAATTCAACCTTCATTATGGTGAAATGGTAATATAAAATTTGAATTCAACCTTCATTATGGTGAAATGGTAATATATTTAAACAGCTTTTAAAATCGGAAAAAAATATTGTGACCTCTAGAGAATCCGTCATAATCCAGGAAGATACTTTCGAATATGCGCGATTATCAAAAGGAACCAAGATCTTAGTGTGTAATGGTGATATATTCATATGTTTTTTTTTTTAAATCGGATAAAAATTGTGACCTCTACATGGACCGCAAGCTAAAAAAGTGATTTTATGTACAATCAGGGGCCATAATTCAGGAAGTTATGATGCGATATGTGCAAATGGTTATAAACATGCATTTCAAGTGTCATCAAAATCGGAACAACCTTGATATACCCGATGTATACACTATTTGCATACAAGGGGCGGCCATTTTGTCTGACAGTTTTGGTCCCATTTTCAGGAAATTCGAACTCAACCATCATTAGGGTGTAACGGTGATATACTAAAACGTTTTTTAAATCGGATAAAAATTTTGACCTCTAGAGGGACCACAAGCTAAAAGCGCGATTTTTCGTACAATCAGGGGCCATAATTCAGGAAGGTACGATCTGATATGCGCGGATATTGAAAGGAACCAAGATCTTTGGGTTATAAACATGCATTCCAAGTTTCATCAAAATCATATGAAAATTGTGACCTCTAGAAGGTCCACAACCTTGATATACCATATTTTTACACTATTTGTGTGAAAGGGGCGGCTATTTTGTCTGGCAGTTTTGGTCTGATTTTCATGAAATTCAAACTCTGTCATCATTAGGGTGTAACGGTGATATACCTAAACTGTTTTCTAAATCCGATAAAAATTGTGACCTCTAGAGGGACCACAAGTTAAAAACATGATTTTTCGTATAATCAGGGGCCATAATTCAGGAAGTTACGATCCGATTTGCGTGAATATCAAAAGAACCATGATCTTTGGGTTATAAACATGAATTTCAAGTTTCATCAAAATCGGATCAAAATTGTGACCTCTAGATTTTCCACAAGCTAAAAACGTGAGGCCATTATCCATGAAGTTATTTGTCCGATACATGCCAATAGCAGGGGTAGAAACTAACCTGAAATGGTCACTAGCCATTTGGGCTAGTAGCTTTCAGATCTTACTAGCCCAGCCAACATTCTACTAGCCCAGTAAGAAACTGACACCAGACTAAAAATTCTGATTTAGACTGTTGTTTTTGTAGTAGGGTGTTTTAGCCCCTTTAAATATTTTAGTAGGGTGTTATAGCCACTTTAACTATTTCAGTCAGTCTCTATTGTCTTGAGTATCCAGCTAGCCTTTTCTTTCCAGTGGTGATATTTACTTTAGTTTAAAGTTTAAAAATGCTATTGATATAAGGTAGTGAGTAGATTTCATTCCCTTGGAAACCTGCTTTGTTGATTTTGGTTACTAACTTCACTCTTCTATTTTCTACCCATCTTTAAACAGCTCTTCTTAATTACAGCACAAATTAATCATTTATTTCAAGGTAGGTTTTGTATTTGTTTGACTGGACTAGACATTTTAAACTATATAAATAATTCCAAACTATTAAAGTAAATATTAGCAAGTTAATAATAATATATATATAGAAATTAAATAACCTTATATTTCATAAGTAAATGTTGATTAAATATATTTTTCCCTCATGTGTAAAGTCTTTTAATTGTGATATCTATTTGTTTTATAGTGTTTCGTATTGTGTTGACTATAAAGTGTATAACTTTATAAATCATCTTTATTTTCCTGGAAAAAAGCACCTGTCTTAGGGTATGTTTGAAATATGTATTTATATCTTGAATCTTTGTTAGAATGGTTCAATGTAAATAGATAGTCTTTTCATTTTAATGCATAATAATATAGTACTTATATTATAACAGAGATACCGTATTTAATAGTTCACTTTTGTAAATAATCATTTTGTATCTTTTCAGTGTTTTTGTTATGTGTATGAAGTGTATTTTGTCCTGAAATAAACTGTTGTATTGTTAATTGGAGTCAACTAGTCTATACAACTTTTCCCACGACCTGGACTGCCGGATAGTCTGTCTGTCCGTCAAAACTCCTGCTACATTTTGTTCATCATTAATCAATCAAAAACACCAAAATACATGCACTTAAATTTATTTTGGCACATTTAATAATACAACAAATAGACTTTGTTCATTGTTGCCTCTGTTTTTTCATCAAATAATGAATTCATTAATCAGTCATGAAGACATATATATTAAAATTCAATTTGGCACATTTCATTTCATATTTCATATTTGTCCTTTGGAAGTTTAATCTTCAATACAATAGATTTTTTCAGGGGCCTCATTTGTATTTATATTTCATTTATGTTTTATAAATTCAGTTGTGATGTGCAAAATAATATGATGTAATGTCCTTAAAATTTAATATCATAACTTGTCACTGAGTGATGAAGTTATTTATAGCAGAGCACGTGTCTTCATTGCCGTAATATCTCGCTGTTATAAAACCTTTTAACATCCATGTTCTTCGCTAAATTGCTTCATGTATATATATCAACGATTATGTTAGGCGATTTATGATAATTAACCTGAAATATGACTGAAAAGTTATTCAATTATATCGACTTTCGCTTCATAATTCATCGAGGTGTAAACAGATTAAAAACACGTAAATAGTGATGGCGACGATTTTCGGAAGTTAGTTTCATGACAGTGTTCATTAAGTCAAATTATCAATTATTACAACTACCAAAATATCAGGTCGCCACACAGGCTAATTGATTTTGAATTTCATTCGCCGGTACTGACTTTTACTCGCCATGGGCGACCGGGCGAGCGTTAGTTTCTATCCCTGCAATATCGAAAGGAACCGAGATCTTTGGGAGATAGAGCTATATTTCAAGTTTCATAAAAATCGGATAAAAATTGTGACCTGTAGAGTGTCCACAAACAAATTGATGACGGACAGGGGCGACGACAATATACGTCCACATGAAAATGTGGGCGTATAAAAATATGTATAGAATGGACTAATCAGGCGTAAATGACTGTTGTTCAATTTTAACTATTCACATATTTCACCAACAATATTGATAAGCATTTACAATAAAAAACTTAAAAATTGAATATTAATCACTTAATATATATAAATATTATATTAATACAAATGTATGTGCTTTTAGACCCATTTTCGGCTATTTTAAGGTTCCGAATATAGAGTCATACTCCCTTGAAGCCTGAATCACTGTTGGAAAGTAGGATTTACATGTAATACTAATAGTATTCTTTCAATGGAGTGAATTTATCATGTCAAATATTGCAAGGTTGAAAGGAATAGACGCTATTTAGACCGGAGGCTCAGTGCAGGGTTGGGTTGGGAGGGTCCATCAAATGGGCACAAAACCAGACCCAACTTTTCTAGAGTAAAATTTTGCGTAGAATACGAAGCCGAGTGGTAATCAGTCTGCCTAATCTTGCCTGACCCATTACCCACCTAGAGTGTCAACAATTTTAATGCGTAACAACAGTTCCCCACAATTTTTATGCATGGTCTAGTCTGACCCAACTAGCAATTTTTTTGTGTGGCTTAGGTTTTTTTTTTGGCAATTAGTGTTGTTATTTCGTTATTTATTGATTTTTCGATATTTTGGGTTTTACAGACTTTTTAGATAATTAGCATCAAAATTTTTTTCCGTTTTTATCACTATTTTGGTATTTTGTCTGCATTTTTTGGTGCTAGCACCACTGAGGTACACGATGGGAACAACGGACAAGCTGAGATCGACACCAGTGTTCAAGATGGTGGAAGCAGGCCTGAACCACCAGACTCAGCTGTTTCTGAAGTGTCAGAGGAA